GCCCCGGCCCGGCGGCGGGGGCTCAACGGCTGCGTGCCGCTCTCGCACCAGGTGGCCGGGCACATGTACGGCAAGGATAAAGGCGGTGAGCGGCGGGGCCGGCGGCGGGGGGCAGGCGGCCGTTAGCGGCGGCCGTTAACGGCTCTGCGCCGGTGCGTGTGCGGGGGAGCTGCCGTGTGTCCCCTCCTCCCCCCCTCCCCGCTTGTCTTATTCTTCTACCTCATATGCTTATTTTTATATTTATTTCTTGGGCGCCGTCAAGTGGCTCCCTCGGCTCGCTCGCCCTCAGGGAGCTGTGTGCTGGCTGGGGAGAAAGCGCGGCGCTGCGTTTTTGGGGAGAGAAGGCAGGTTYTAGGGGCTCCCGGAGACCTGAGGGCGGGCTGGCCCCGCGGGGCGTCCGGAAAGTTTAAGAACACCCCTGTGGCATTTCTCAGCCTTGCCTGGGTGCATTCAGGGCTGAAAACGCGTGTCCCTCCTGCGCCAGTGCTAGCGGTTGTTGCAGAGACGAGGAAACCGAAAACTTCCCTTGCTGGTGACAGCTGCGAAAATCAGCAGTTCCCCCCGCCGACAGCGCCGCGTTGCCCCTGCTAGGGTGCTGTGTGCTCCTGGGCTAATTCTGCTAAATAAAAGTTACGTAAGCTGCTGCATTACCGTATGGTACGGTCTGTAGTAAAGGCGCTCGTCTATCTGCCCGAATATCTGACTTTACAGGAAAGGATGCCTTCAAAAGGGGAATTTAATGCTGTCCTCTATTGCTGATCTCTGTATCTTCGTAGGAAAAGCCAAGAGATTAATCTCCCTAATGAAGGTTTATTCTGTGGGTTGGAGCAGCTGGCAGACTGTCCTTCATAGCCTATATGTTATGAATCAAAGCCTATATGTTATGAATCAAAATAGAGCAGGATGGTTGCTGCTAAATAAATACTTCTTGATACAGGTGGTTATTAGGTAAAACTGAGCTAGTCCCTCTTTGCATGACTCCCTCGTTCAGTCTTATGATTTTATGGTTTAGGAGAGGTTTCCTGGCACTACCTGGCAGTCACGAGAGGGTAAAATGGATATCTCTTTTTCAAGCGTGAGGCAGTGCATGGTTATGTGAGGATGGAGAATGCTGCTGATCTGAATGCAGCACCTGAGCTCCCTGCTGCTGCGTCTCACATTAGGGGATGGCTACTCTGTCTCTAGGTGATGAGCTAGCAGCGAGTTTCAAGGCGAGATGTGCAAAATATCTCATGGTTTTGTTTTCACAAATGCGACTAGCTGGTTGTTGGCTTCTTTGAGCAAGGCTTCCGTAGCCCAGCTTCATCTGACACTTGGAAAAAACGGGGCTTTAGGTAATGCACGTCCTTATTGGTGTACTGTTAAAACTGTGCTTCATCTAAAATACCTACCTGTGCTTTAAGACCAAAAAGTGTCAGCAAGATGTTAGTAAGCAATTTACTAGCTTGTGAAGCTGTTTTGTAAATGCGTATGCAAATTTAGAAGAAAAGGGATGACTCCTTAGTTGCTTGTTTATCTGGTGGTGATAGTAAGGGTGTCGGTAATAAGCTAATAATGTAAGGTACTGTAAGGTGTAAGGTAATAAGCTGTCTAACAATGGTAATATTAAGTCATATAGGTGTATATATATTTATGTCCTTATGCCGATGTGTCAGAATTTAATTTGAGGTTGAGTTTGAGATTTGGCACAGCTGAGGAAGGTTCCTTTTCATGTAGGTAGCAGCCAGTGCCAAAGCAAACTACGCAAATGCAGAGCTGATATTGCCCAATGGTACTTCTCACCCTTGCAGAACATCACATTGGGTAAAGCTCATGCCTTTGAGATGAGAGGTGTGCAGCTCTTCAGCTTTGCATGTGCCCTGGGGGAGCAGCGGTAATGAATATGTCTGTCCTAGAGCCTGTGAGCTCTATTGATCAGACACTGAATTTTGCTGAATAGGCTAAGGGCGGGCACTGGCCTCACAACCTCTACAACCACCAATAAATGAAATGACAGTGCTAATGGCGTGGCGAGCCTGTGTTATCTATAGCTCATGCTCATTTCGTGTCTTGCTGCTGATAGTCTCCATAGCAAGGTGCTTGCTGCTGAGCTGTTTGCTGCCTGCGGCTCGGAGCCTTCCTTCTTCTGCCCAACTTCCTTCTTCGTGTTGCTGCTGCTGTCTATTAGACTTCACTTCTCTCCCGATAAACAACCATGCAGAAGACTTGTGAATATCCAGAGCCTGCATTACTTTTTGTAGTTAAAGTACAGCATAATGATGCTGTCTACCACCTTTGGGAGCCTCTTGCAGCTGAGTGTGGTTTCTCCGATCCCTCAAACTGCTGGGGGTCTCCAAATTGTTGGTGGGATTCTGCAGCTAGGGAACTTGTAGTGCTGCTCTGCAGTGCATATGAGCTCCAGGCTCAGACTATTGATTTCCGGCTGAGCAGGCTGAGACAGCTCACACATACTGGTCAGTCCTTATTAAACACTCTGAGAGAACAGGGAATCTTTTCCAAAGTAAATGTTCAGAGTGTTTGTGCAAAGGAGTTTTTGTCTCTAGTTTACTGAAGCATATGCGTTGACTCCGAACGTGAAGAAAAGTGTGTACAGCTACAGTGCCCTTGCTGTGGCTTTCTGAGCTCTAGTGTGCTAGCAAGCTTTGTACACAGAGTCAGAAAAAAAGCTTTTGGAATATTTCAATGTCGTTTTGCTGCTTGCTCAGAAATCTTTTGTTGTTTATTTATTAAAATGATATCCCCTCTCCCCGTATTTACTTGAAGACCCCAGCATTCCTTAAACAAAGCCATAACTGCAAGTGGTACTGTCTTCTGCTGTTGGAGAGAAGGTTGTGGAAGTTTTTCTCTTTGAGGTGTTCCGAAGTATGAACAAGTTTGGTTTCCAGGCTTATCTCCATCATGTTTGGACTAGGTGCTCTGTCCTGTCAAGAATTCCAGAGGATGAGGGAGCTTTAAGCGGTATCAGGTTATACTAAACTTTTCAAGTAATAAAATATATCATCCGTCATGATCCAAAGTGCAGGGTTTGGGGATAAATTACCATCATGTGCCTTCGAAGTCCAACCTTCTCTGTATCAACTTGATCGTGCTTGGATCCTACTTCCAGGAGTATTTGCCTGGTATTTTTACGTGTTTGTCTCATCAATGCAGTCAATATACGTTTTAAAGTCTCTTTTAATACTGTGATTGTTAGTAATTCAAATTTAAAACACTTGTCTTTCAAACACTTTGCCCTCTCAGGACATGAGAAAAAAGATGCTAAAAATAAAGCTGTTTTGTCTTGGAGATGTTGTGGTAGTCTGTGCATTGTTGTGCAGCAGTTTTTTCTGGTCCTGGAAAGTATACAAACTCCAGCCTTAGCAGGCAACTTGACTTGAGAGCTGTTATACACAAATCTCTAAAAACACTCTTTGTTCACGGGCACAGCCAGCTTCTGAAACAACTTCTAAGTCTGGTGTTTGTTTTAAAACAGGATAGCTTGGTCTCTAAAGATTTTGTTTAGTTTCCAAGACTGCACAACAAAACCCATTCAGAGATAATGCTTTCCAAAAAGTGAAAACCCAGTTGCTGCTAGAACTGGTACCACTTTGGGGGGCACCAAGTTCTTGCTTTGGTTACCACGTCTTGTAACTGCTCCTCAAGCCATAAGCTAAAGATGGAACTTATTTCACATATATCTGATGTTTATCTGCTTTCTATACAAAATAAGTTGCTGTATGAAAAGCTTTGAATAAGTGCTAAGAGAAGATGTTTGTCTTGAAGTGAATCCCCCACCCTGTAACCAGTGGTCTTCAATTCTGTCCTCTTTTTTGAATGGAAATGGAGTAGAAACATCTGAATCTCTTGAAAAACCTGCTAGTGCTCTGAGCCTTTCTCAGGGTGTGTTTCACAAAGCAGCAGTTATTTTTCTCCATTCTTGGCCATATCCATCTCTTGAGTACCCTATGATAGAATTAAAYTGAGTTGTGAATTCTTGGTGCAGCTGCTCAGCAATATTGCTAACCACAGCATCATTTAGTCTGATTTACCTTCGTTTGGGGGAGCGAGGGGAGTACAGGAGCAAAGGCGGCTGCTTGGCTGAGATGAAATCCTATGTTGTATTCTCAGTGATAGTTTGGTGGTGCTTGATCAGCTTGGAGGGCTGTAGAAATACTTGTAGTAATATAAAAGTGCTTATTCTATGCCACTAGTATAAAAACGCATTTGCAGTTCATATCTGCCAGTTTTAGCTAATGATAAATGCATAAAACTTGGCACTAGCACTTCTTAACTTGTTTAACTTTTTAAGCTTCTTAGTATCATTGGGAAAACATCTTGTTATCRGTTATTTAAAAAAGGAGTGTCTGTGTAATCTTCGCTAGTTGAGTGAGTGGTTTTGGGTGGAACTTTTAATGTCAAATCCGAGTATTATGTTGGCCTTGACCAGAGTAAGACCCAGAGGCTCATCTGGAATCTAGAGAGAGAACACAAGTGAACCTTGTCCCAGGGTTTTGTTTAAGAGCTGCCAATTTCTTTTGTGCGTGTACTGGAAATGGTGGAACTGAACAGATGGACTGTCCCTGCTGTATATTTGTTATTTCTGTAAAATACAGAAATCTGTATTTTTCTCTCCGYGCCCTCTCTCAAAATTTCCCTGTGCCTCTCTCAAAAGTAAGCGCTGAGTGACATGCTTCTCTTCTAGGAATACTGCAGCATCCGGATGGGACAGTCTTGAAGCAGTTGCAGCCACCGCCTCGAGGCCCTCGGGAGCAAGAGTTCTACAACAAGGTGAGGCTCCTGCCCTGGGGAGGAACTCACCTCGCTGAAGGTGAAATGATGAGTGTCAATTCATGTAAAAGTGCATCCTTGCTGCTGTTTTTATGGGAAAATGTAACCTGAAAAACTGAATGCTRTTCTCTAGCACAACTGTCATGACATTTCTATGCTCTGTAGAGCTTTTTTTCCTTCAAATATATGTCCCCACCTCAGACCTACTTTACTGACATGTTTTAAGCTTTCCTGTTTTCCCAGGGGAGCAATAGGGCGTTCACAACATCCAGTATCTTGTTGAAGAGTCTTAATGTAGGTATTATTGCCTACGACTACCGTAGGCTCCTAGCGTGATCTCATTGGGTTTTTTTTCACATGGTGCTGGGCATGTCAGAATTGATTGTCTAAAACATAGTGAGCCTCATGATCCATTTTAGTCTGGTTTGTTGCTAGAAGTGTTGCCTTGTTTTCMATTTCATTTAAACCCTACTCCTTTGAAAATGTAAATAAAAGCTGAAAATCTCTAACTGTTATGACTTGGATTTGGCATACTTGTCATATGAACCAACTCTTTTGCTCGTCTTGGGTATGCTTTATCAGTAATTTGAGCAGACTGAGCATTGCTGGCTGTCTTGCCAAGGGTGAAGTGTTTTTAGGGTCTCTCTTCCTTACCCGCATCCCCCTGATTCTTGGTTCATTTGTCCTCTGTTCTTTCTACGTAGACTTGATGTTCCGGCACTTTTCGTGGCTTTTTAGCTCCTGTGTTAGGTACAAAGAACTGTAGAAGTCTTTGTTTTGTAGAAATATCTTGTAGAAAGCCGACTAAGCCATATACTGTAAGTAAAATCTGTTTACATACTACTGTTACTTGATAATTGATATGATGAGACTGCTAGACAAAACAACAAGTCTTGAGTTACTACGAGCTCTGCAGGAGCCAGTTAAACCTAAATGTAAATATTTTTTTCTGAGGTTTCACAGTGACAGTGTCATTTAGATGAGGCCAAGAAAGATAGGGTCCAGGCTGAGTGGTAACTCTTCCAGAGGCAGAAAGTGTGGGCAGCATTTTCTTGGAATATCAGGCTACTTAATTCTGTGTGCAGTTCCTCAAGGGAAGCCAGTAACTATCCAAAGCCAACAGGTAAAAGGGGTAGGATTCGGCAGTGCTTCGATGTCAGCCTTCTGCAAAACAGACTTTGTCACTTCACCTGTTCATTAGACTCGTGTCAAAGGCATGAGCAAGATACGGGGCAACATCTAGAAAGAGAGGTCACAGTCACTGCTGTTCTTGCTAGACCCTGTCATACTGGAGGAAGTCAGGTCCAATGCTAAGCATGTACAAAACCTCAATTATACTTGTTCAGACACTGTTTTTTTATTTGTTTATCGCTTGTTAGCTGTTAAGGAAAGGAGTTGGAGATTTATTAATAAATACAGGGGCTAGGAGAAGGTTCATACACCTCTTCTTATGAGGACTGGAATGTCTTTTTCTGGGAGAAAGCAAGGAGAAAAAGCAAGGAGAATCTATGTTGCAGGTGAAAGTACAGGAGAAAAGGTTTGGAGAGTTTTTCACTCCTCAATGATTAACTCTTTTCCTGTTTGCTCTCAGTCATGAGCCACGTTCTATGGAATATAGGCACCTGAGCTCTACATGTGCTTTTTATAAGGTAGGGATGATTATTGCAGGCTGGGAGTTACAGTATAAAACTTTCACCTACAGCTTGAACTGATTAACAGTTCCCTGTGCTGCGAGGGGAAAGGTCTCCCMCAATAACATGTGACATCCTCTACTAATGCTGAAATGACTTGTGATTTTTTTTCCATCTATCACAATGAAAGAATCATAAAGTATAACAAGATTATCATGAACAGTGTCAATGATTAAAATGTAGTAGAACAACAGGCTTTGTAGGCATTGTTAATAACTAACTGTATTGCTTAAATTATCACTGGAGTATGACTTTCCAGTGGTAATGTCCACTTTCTGTTGAATAACAAATTTAAATAATAATGTCCTAACTGTGTTTCTGTAAACTCCCTGTACTTGAGGTCATGTATTTCTTACAAAAAGGAAATCTTCTCTTTCTTATATCTGCAAAATGCATTGTTTTAAATAGCTGTGAGCAACTAGAAAGGGGAGAAGAGCTTAAAGTAGAAAGATTTTTTTTTAAGACAATTTAAGCTGTGCTAGCTGGTAGTTTCCATCTAACGGAAATATTTATTGAGAACCAATAGGTGAAGACACTATAGAGGACTACTTTTAAAAGATTGTAAGGAAGGAGGGAGCATGCAGTGTTGTGGGGATAGGAAAAATGCATTATTTAGAAAATGCAATAGAATATGTGGCAGTGGCCTGTCTCCATTTGAAGGAAAATTGGTAAAAGATGGTGTGTATTTATGGTATGCTGTCCACACAGACACGCTAGAAACATTGCAAAGGAGGCTACTTCCTGGTGAGTTTTAGTATTTGGCTTTCAAAATGCTTTATGCCAGGTCACATACTTAAGTGCTGAAACAGTCTTATTTAATTCAGCAGTGCTAAAAGGGGGAAGGGAGGGAGCCTATCAGCTCTCTACAGTGATCTCTTCTGGCAGATGAGTTGGAGCTGTGAGAAGAGCATCTGTTGGAAAGGTTAATGCACGCGCTGTATGAGGTAAAACCTTGTGCTGAGCTAGGTGCAGAGCTCGTCTCAAACGTGCCAGGCTGCACCCAAGAGCACTATGTGCTAGCAAGACTATCTCTTCCTATTTAAGAGATACTCTGTTCTGTACAGGGCATTTTTTAATATGTCATGGCAAGAATGTACTAGTGCAGAAACTGCTGTTGGTGTCTTGAAGAGGGGGAGGAAGCTGAAATATCATTCTTGAAATAGGGCATCTGCTTTTGTAGGCAAAAGGATAGGTCCTTGGACTACAAATATTTTAAACTGAGAAAGAGAGAATTTACAGTTGTTGAATCTACTGCCCAGACTACAATTTCCTGCAAGCTATGTCTGCTGCTTCCTTTTTTTTTTTTTTCCCCCATGGGAAATAGGGAATTTCTTTTCATACCTTCAGGGCAGCAGAAGGTTGATAGTCTATTTGAAGTGGCAACTCTTCTGCTTCTTACTTCTGCTATTCATTCCATGGGGCTGTAAAAGTGCTGTCATTGTGTGCACCTCATCTCAGCATGACTTRCTGAAGTTAAATGTTGATTGCACAGCACTGAGATTTCAGCATGCCTTGTATTTAAACCATGAGTAGATGCTCCTGTAAACTTCCCTTTGCAGAAGTATTGTCCCTTTGTTCTCCTATGGCAATTGCCTGGTATATAGAGGTATAAGAGGTTCTCCTAGAAGCTATAGAGGACTGCCCACTCTGAGGAAGATCTTTGCAGTGTGCACAGCTTCAGCATTTGCAGTTTTCTTCTGCTTGCCAGTAGTTACATGTCAGAAATGTCATAGCTGGTGCTTGCGATAATGCCAATTTACAGCTTCAGGTATCAGATAGTACCAAGTCAAGTACCAACTTAAGTACCTGCAATATCATAATGCTTCCAGGGGTGCTCTATGCAGAGTCTTATCCTGATTCTCAGATACCCTTGTCCATGGGGTACATATGCACTCTTTGGGGGCAGGAATGAAAAGGACAGAGCTCTTCCCACTCGTGTCTTTTAATGCCAACAGCCTGTTCCTTGTACCTTTACCCCAGTGCTTGGGAACTTAGGGAGCTGCTTCACCCCGTGTGGTGTTGAGCAAAGAGATTTAGTCTGGTTGTTTGCCCTTTTGGAGAACAGATCTTTCTCCTGTTGCCAGTTAATAATGAGTCTGTAACAGCTGCAGCAGTAGTCTGGAAGTTCAGGGTTCAAGCCCTGCTGTTACACACCATGAATACAAGGAAGCCATTACCATTTGAGATAATAGAAATTGTTCTTCACTTTTGTTGTATGTCTTGAAAACAAAGCCAGGATGTAAGAGACACAAATAACTCCAGTGTGTAAAATAGATTTGTGTTATTTAGATTAGAGTCCAGCACTTGAAAGCTAGGAAGTAATGGTTTTGTGGTTGCCCACATAATTGTTATTCTGAACTTTTGTTGGATGTATTATAGCAGAGCTTTCAGTAGGGTGGTGATTTGTCCTTTTTCTCTTATTTTTTTCCACCTTCCCTTCCATGGTATGAAGTCGAGCCAGGGATCTGAAAGATGGGCTTTGGCCTGAAAGTTTTCTGCCCACCAGAAAGCTGGTGTCCTCTTGCAGCCCAGCAAGCACAAATCATGATAAGGCAGCCCATGTTCTGTAAACTGTTTTCAGCTATCCCTGGAAAATGAAACAGATTTGGGAAGCAGAACACGTCTTGCTTCAGGATGAATTGCCGTATTTTGTAAACTCAGTTAGGTAGTTTTATAGTCTTGATTTAGACGATTATTTTTGACTGAAAAAGGAGTGGATGATGGCCATAGTGCTGCAATGGCCTACTAAAATATCCTTATCCTTTGAACAAATCTCCAGCTCAGGTCCTGATTCTAAGTCTTGTATGGACAGAGATTCAAGAAATAAATGCACAGTTCTCTTCACATCTTATTTTGGTGATGCAATGCCTTACCCAAACCTTTTATTACTATCTTAAGAGTAGTGCTTGAATATTGGAACCCTATCTCTTGCTGTGGGTCATTCTGGTRCAATCAGATCTATTGCATCTCCAAAAGAGACTGGTACTGAAATAGTACAGATTAACTGTTTGCAAGCATAGTAAACAAGTTCTGCTACAACCTGCTTTGGCATAGTCACTTTTTTTTTCATCATCTTCTGCGAGACAATCTGGGAGAGTAAATGTGACTGAAAAATAAGCAAAAAAAAAAAGTTTTATTATCTAACATTAAGCTAGTTCAGTGTYTGATCTACACTGAGGGGTTCCACTTTTTTGACTGTGGAACAAGTATTGTTTAAGTGGAGCTTTGAGTCTATGATAATGATAAATGATTCATTCTATAATTAGCTTTTGGAGAAAAGGTATATTACTGTTTTACAGTAATTACAGC